CAGATTTAATGTAGAACACGTTGACTCTTTCAAAAAGATCCTAGTTTTACCAAAATCTATTTAAAAATTAAGATACACACCTTTGAATATTTGTTCTCTGTCATTTTGTTTCAAGGTAATAAATCTTACTTTTAAAAGGTTTCAAAGTATGTATAGATATTCTTGTGTAATGTGATATATTTTGGACAAAATCTGATATCCTTTAGAAAATTATGTAAAAAGCTAGACAGACAAATACAAAATACAAGTTTTCCAGTAAAAAGTCAGAGAAAATGCTCAGTCTTAGATCTGTGAAGAGGAGGGAGAAATATAGGGGCCAAGTTAGTAAAAATCGACTATTCTACCTGATTGAATAGAGGTCGAATGCTTTAGGAGAATGGAATTCTTGCACCTGATCCAGTATAAAAATACTTGGGATATAAACAGTTAACTCACTTGCTGTTTAGTTACACAGTTTATGGGGTGATGATTTACTTTATTGTCCCATTTCCTTCCTGCAAACAAGAAATCTGAACGCTAATGCCATGTAAACATTTTAGATGACAAAGAGTGTCTGTGTCCACACAATGTATAATGACTGGTATATATTTTCTGCAAGAACAAAACACACAGATAACAGCCACTGTCACTGTCATCACTAAAAAGTAAGCATTAATAATAACGGCTGCATGAGTGGTTGTAATGATTTTGGCAATATCTACTAAGCTCTTTTAAACTGCTTATTTCTTTCGTTTGATCCCACTTTTGGGACTCTGTTCTAAGGACATAAAATATGTCCTCGCATATACACCACCCTACATTTCTACAAACAGCATATGAAAGGCAGCACAGCTAGTGGCTAAGGGTATGGTCTCTGGAGTTGGAAGGGCTGGGTTCAAATCCTGACGCTACTACTGACCAAATGCATGATGTTGAGCAAGTTACTTAAGTCCTGTGCTTCAGCTTCCTCATCTAAGAGATGGAGATAATCTTACTAACTTATAGGCCCTTCATGAGGATTAAATGAGGCAATGCAGGCACATCACTTCCACCAGTGAATTTAATAAATGTTAGCTGTTACTATTAATATATTCATAATGGGACTAATTAAAATAGGAAAAATAGGAAGAGTCTCAATGCTCCACAACAAGAGACTGGTTGCAAGAACTCTGATGTATCTATTCAATACGGAGTCATTACATTTCAGCACACTGTTTCATACATGCTATTTAGCACAGGAACTAACTCATACAGGTGTTTAGCGCACTCTGGATTTCACTGCGAAATAAACAAGACACCCCGTGACTCATAGTTTAATATCACCGAAGTTGAAATGTATTTTCCAGTCATGGGTATGTTACAGTTTAATTGATACTGGTAGAGGGTGATGCATCTTACACTTTGATGTAGTCTGTGGTAGACAAAATAATGGCTTCCCAAAGATGTCCTTGTCCTAATTTCCAAAACCTGTCAATGTTACCTCACATGGCAAAAGGAACTCTGCTGATGTGATTAAGTTTAGGACTTTGAGACGGAGTGATTATCCTGGATTATGCAGAGGGGCCCAATGGAGTCATAAGATGCCTTACGAGAAAGAGGTAGACAGGACGGTCAAAGTTAGTCATAGGAGATGTGATGATGGAAACAGAGGTTGGAATGATGTGAGAAGGCACCATGAACCAAAGAATGCATGCAGCCTCTAGAAGCTAGAATGGCAAGGAAACAACTCTCTGAAGCCTCCAGAAGGAACCAGCCCTGCAGATACCATGACTTCAGCCCAGTGAGAATGAGAATGATTTTGGACTTCTGACCTCCAGAACTGTAAGATAAGTGTGTTTTTGTTTTAAACAACTATGTTTGTGGCAATTCGTTATAGCAGCAATAGGAAACTAACACACAGTCTTTATCTTAGTGAAATAAGGTTCTTTTTGATTTCTAAGCACATTAGGCCTTCAGTGTTTTCTGTTACCACATTACCGCTTGAAAGAATAAGAGGCAATAAACACAAAGCTATTGAATGACTGTTGAATGGACTAGTATACAAATATTAAAATGTTTACAAAAACCTTATAATAAAAATAGAAAAATGTTACTTAAAAAAATAATTTCAATTTGCATTACAATGAAATTACAATTGCGTTGAATGGACTCACATCAAATTATGAATATAAGAATTTCAGAAGAAAATAAATTAAAATATTAATAGTGATTGTTTCTGCATGCTGGGACTATAAATGACTTTCTTTTTCTTCCTGTTACAGTTCTGCATTGTCTCAATTTTCTATAATGAATGCTATTATTTTCATGATGGAAAGCAGTACATAAATTTCATCTAAAAAGTAGACAGCAATATGAACATAAAAAGCAATATGAATAATATTGTTATATTCAATGCTTTCATTTATGTACCAACAATTTAAACTTAATTAATAATCCAGTATCTTCCAATTCATAGGTCAAGCATGTCAGAAACTTAGTGGTCATCACAGATCTGCTTTTTGATTTTGCAATACTTGCAAAGCTTTAATAATAGTAAAGTTATGATTATCATCTTCCAAAAATTATCCACTGACCAGTCACTGTGAGCTGCATGACCACGGCAGGGTGTCAGAGAGGTAGTGATTCAGCAGACACTGGCAATCGACTCAATGGGAAGGAAAAAGGCAAAGAGGAGAAAGGCTAGAAACCTGCTGAATGCTTCCGCTGCACTTCAGTGTGAAAAGATAAAAGAGTTATTCCTAGAACTAAGGCTCTCTGACCTTGGATAAGTGCTCCGTCCCTCTGGGTCTCAGTCTCTTCCTTTGCGAGGGTATAGGACTAAATTACCTCTAAGACGCCTTTCAGCTTTAATAGTCTATAAATACGTGTGTGTGTATACACATGAAAACACACCCCACACACATGTGGGCATACAGGCTCTGGTCATAAAACAATGAAACTGAATCAAAACAGCAAATGCAAAAAAAAAAAATTCGTATTATTTTGCACTCTTAATTTGGAGCGTACAAAGCTTGCTGTGAGCTAGCTTTAACTGGTCCTTCATACTGTGCAATTTGCTGCTAATACCATCACCAACAGATATTTCACAATACCTTCTTTCTCACTGTCAGAAAATAAACTGCACAGCGTATGAAAAGGCTTGAATACGTGAGAGGTTACCGCGGCAGCAGCCTGAGGGTTGGCTCTTCCCTGAGGCTTTTCAGCCTGTCACTCTTCAGCTCTTTGAGGAATGCATTCATAACTTTGGGAAAGTCGTCTACTTTTTTTCCAAGAAAATCAAGCACATTAACAAAACTTAATAGTAGCATTCCAACTAAATGCAAAAGCCTTATAAATGTTCAATTACTATGATATTAAACAAGGATGTCATTTCTGGAATAGTCTTGTATGAAATTTCACTGGAAGTCTGAAATGTATTTTTTACAGGTAATAATGATAGAATATCTATTTTTTTTAAATGTAAATTATTTAACCCAAATCTTAAGGCATCTACAAGTCTTGTAGGGTGGAATAAATCATTCATGAATTGAACTCTAATGCAAAACAGAAAAGTAAATGCCAGAGAAAGACATGAGTGTCTTACTACAGATAGAGTTTCAGAGGAGAAAGAACTTATGCCCAGCTGCCCAGACAGGAAGATGATCTAGGGAAGCTTACAGGGTTTATGGCATTGAAGGTCGAATTCCTGAATTCAAGAACCAAGGTGAGAGTGGGGGACTTTCTTGGTGGAAAAAATAGAATAAGCAATGTCTTTGTGGAAGGGAGAATTTGGGGTGTCTATGGAGAAGTGCAAAGAGTGAAATTGGGCAGTACTGCCAACTCCAGATTTGATAGCAATGGAAATAAAGACTAAAATGATATATAAGATTGCCAAGGCCTTGAGTGCCCACAGAAGGAGAAGGAGACTGCACTATATTCTACAGAGTTTTCAAGCCATTGAAGGCGTTTAAGCAATTACTTAATTGATTTGCATTCACTCCTCCTTATTAGAAGGGACAAAGGTAATTTTAACTCTGCAGTTGAAAAGGAATCATGATTTCCCACTCAACAGGTGAACAAAATTCCTAACAGTCTTTCTGTGCATCATACAATCAATCAGAATCAAACTCTTACATAAAGGAAAGAAGCTTTCCTTTATTCCTCTAGTATTTCTGGTATTATTTGGTATAGGAAGAGGAGTGACCTCTTTTGATGTTAGAGTAAAAGCTGCCCTTACAGGAGCCTAGAAACCCAGACTTCTGGGGGACTTGATCATACTGACTATATTGACTGGTCTTCAGACTCCCCAGTTTCAACCTTCTAGAACCCAGGACTTGGCTCTGTCCCTAAGTACTGGTCCCAGTCCTCCCATCTGTTAACTCCTGGACATGAGGCATTCAAACTACGTCCTGTATGTGAAGACACAGCACCAATTCAGCATATTGCTCTTTGTGAGTGCATGTATATGGGTGTGTGCATTTCTAGAAAAATTTACAAGTCTGCACACATTATGCAAAATGCTAACAGCATCACATTATCTAATTTTTACATCTTTCATGTTGTAGTGAGAGCCATATGTTTCTTCTAAATAATTTGTGAGCATTTTGAGAGCAGGCCCATCATATTGCATCATGTGTACAACCAATACTCAATTAGTATCAACTGAACAATTGCTTTAAACTAAATCTTTAGCCCCCTGGAGACACTGTATTTCTTCCTAGGATCTGGAGAATGGCTGGTTAACACATTTAGTACAAAAGAACCAAAAAGTATGTTTCCTATTTTCCTTTAGATCTGAAAAGGCAAGGTAGTTTATATCTTTAAAAGCTCATGAGATAAGGTAACTGAACTCATCATCTGAAAGCAATCTATCAGTATATATCTGCATGAGTGAGTGTGTGTGTGCATGTGTGTAGAATCAGCCAGTTCTTGAAACTGGAAAATGAAGAAACCATGTGCTAAGTATTAAATCCAGGTGGTGTTAGCAATTGAATACAGTTCATCAACTGGCGTGGTTGTCAGGTGTCATACCTGACACTTACCTCAATGAAGAAGATGCTGGCTGCTGATGTTGGATGGTGATACATGTAGACTGTCACAAGGATGGCTGCAGCTATAATAAGGACCAGGATGAGAATCCCAATGATGAGGCCAGCGTGGAGGGTCCCCCCTTTCTTCTCGGCTGCACTGTCATCTGTAGAAGCTGAGAGAACATACCAGCGGTCAGGACTTTCATGTGTGCACCCTTAAGTTTGCATTTTCATTTGAGGACATATTTGTGTTTTAATCAAATACTATTGGATCTTTACTACCTGTACAATTTTTATTTTCCAGAGCGCCATTTCAGAGGCTAGGTGCTTTTCATATGGGAAGTGAAAAATCCATTGTATTCATGAGGAAAAATACATTGACAGCTATGTTTTAATTTCCAGATCAAAAAGCAGAATTAATATCCTTTATTCTCAAAGTACTGAGAAAATCTCAGACTCTAATGACCTGTACAATAAATTTAACTTTGATTTTTCTCATTAAACCAACAAAGTTACCTACAGAAAAACGAATTCCTTTTTAAAAACTCCTCTCTCGTTTTCTTTCAGAAATTTTAAATTGAAAGTATCAGACATCATTTGGTGAGCTACACAAGCATTTCCAGAAAGTCTGTGCATAAGCTCTAAGCATAATTTTCAAAAAATCTGTTTTAAACAGAAATGCTCTTTAAACATGTAACAGATGGATACTAAATGACCCTCAAATAGTGTTATCACCACCTACAGGGAACACCACAGCATATGAAGTGATTCCACTATACTGCAGACCAATATTGCTTCCTTCTGCTTTTACTGAGAAGCTTTCCACTGTAATATATATTTTCAGAGTTAGGAGAGGGAGGAATTAAATTTCTAAAGTCATAACTACCCAACCCAAAGTCAATCAACCAAATACAAGTAATCTCTAAAGTCTTCTCTTGTTCTAAAATTTCATAGTCTTTGATGATTACTCAGGCATTTAGAGATCTTCCTAAATTACGTGCAGCAGGTAATTGTACCTTAATGCATAATATGATTGGTATTTTTGAATCATTAGATAATTCTTTAAGACTCACAGGCATTCCAGAACAGTGGTTCCCAATCTTTTCACGACAATTTACCTTTTTGTTACTTTTACCCATTACCTCTATGTTTTAAATATTTTAAATCTATTATACCCCATTTAATAAGCACTGACATGCTTTTATTTTAAATTTTTGTTAATAAAAACCAAATATGACTGCCTACCAGAATGTGTGGTCCATATGAAAGAACAGAATTCCAGATAAAGCGGAGAAACATGACCTCTAAATATACTTGCTACCCAGCCTTTACATCTTTATTTTTTATTATTATTTGCTTAAGAACCCCCCTTGGTGTTGAGCAATCCTTCTCCAAATTTAATAAAGTTCAAAATCTTAAAGGTTTCTTTTACATAACAGAAATTCACCAGTGAAAGTATAAAATTTAAGGTGTAATTAATTACATAAAAATTCATTTACATGTGTCAGGCATATCTATTTTGCTTGGCAAGTATCAATTCAACAACCCTAAGAGGTAAACACAATTATTATTTCCATTTTATAATTGAGGAAATTGAGGCAAAAGGAAATTAAGAAATGTGCTAAAGTTACAATGCTATTATGATAAAACTGATAGATTAAAAAAATTAATATCCTATTTGGTTCAGTTAGTTATTTGCAGTTTATTCATTACCTTCAACTGTAATTAATTAAAAAAATCTTTGATAATTATTTTACAAACTGATATCTGTAAACCTCTATATGTGCAAATATCATTTTATAAATTGAATCCTTATAAATTTAAGGAGTCGGGTGTTCTCTGAGAATTGTTAAATGTAACATTTTTCTTTTAGTGATAACCTAAGAAATTAACATAAACATATTCTGAATCATCTGGCAAAAGTATAGAACTAGGTTCAGCTTCTGAATTCTGAACTACTGATCACTCTGGGTTCAGCTTCTGAATTCTGAACTACTGATCAATACTTCCTCAATTAACACGATAAGTAAGTACTGTTATTTCCTCTTGTTTCATGTTCTCAGTTCTTCTTGCAAAGAATTCCGAAAAGAAACTGGTAATTCCAAAGAAAGAAAAATCCATTTAAAAGACAAAGAATTCACACTGAGCCTCCAAGAAAGCAGAGGCTACATCTTGTTACTTTTTTGGAACTTGGTCTTGGGTCAGTGTCTGCCATCATAGACACTTTCATCCAAGTTTGGTGGAAAATAAGGAGGAAAAGAGAGGAAGAAAAAAGAAAGAAAAATAAAAACGGTTGAAAACAGGTTACAGCTAATGGAATGACCACCATCTCCAATAAAAATCAAATGAGGCTCTAATAAATGACTTCATTTGCTTAGTCTTCAGTTACCTTATCTCCACAGTATGGCTAAGAACGGTAATTATCCCAAGGAGTTGCTGTGAGTATTCAACATTTATATTTATGAAGTGTTTAAGTGGCTAACTGACTTGTCATTAATACTAAGCTATTATATTATCATCATATTTTTATATGAGGCAGATTGAGGGAAATTATACTGTAAGATTCATGACACCATATAAATTATGTTTTCACTGTTAACATTTGTTGTTTTTAACGTTTGGCCTAAAAAAAAAAGTTTGGCCTCGTTCTTAAGTGTGCTTGTATTACTGCATCTTGTGGACTTGGCTTTTTTCTTATATTTACAAGAGTATGACACATTGCTTTCATGGGAAAATTGGATTAATGTAAAATGTGGCTTTGGGGAAAATGTAGCAAAAATATCGGCTTACGTCAAAAAGGAAGTCTTAAATGTTTCATCAAATCCCATGTGTCATTTCTTCCTTCCCTCCTCCTTCCTTTCCTCTCTCCTTCTTCCATTCCTCTCTCCATCCGTCTCTTTCTCCCTGTCTTTTATCCTTCCTTTTTCCATCCATCATTTATCCACTGATCGATCATTCATCCACCCATCCACCCATCCACCCATCCATCCATCCATCCATCCATCCATCCACCCATTCATCCAGTGTCTGATTCTATTTCTGAGGTTTATAGTCCTTTATACAACGGCACAATCAGTTTCAGTCTCACTTCTTTTGTGTGTGCAAGATGGGAGAGGAAAGGGTAGGGTAATTTTGAGGTCATCTCAGGTTGCCACTTCCCAAGTGGGCCAGAGGACCAGAACCTAGCGGAGGCAGCAGTCAAGAGGCAGTCCTTTCCAGGAAGGAAGAAGAGAGCAAAGGACGTGTTTTATTTCACGAGAGCATTTTTCAGAGCTAAAATTATCTTTAACTTGCAGGAAAATCTTTGGAATATAAAATCATAACCAGATTTGCACCTTGAGTATGGTAAGCTTCATTTCCTTTATTTATGCATAAACATTATTCTCATAATGATTACTTATAATTCCAATAATGATTTAGTTATATTATCCCCCTTTTGAATTCTTCCTTTACATTTCTGTTTCAGATGCTAAGACTGGTTATAACCATGGTTATATCTAATGTAATTTGTACAGTGTCTAGTTTGTTACTAACCAAATAACCACTTTATAACATTTTTGGATGATGATTATTCTAATAAAATAAACAACTTTCAAGAATTTTCAATATTAACCAGTGGACAAGATAATTATTTAGTGTCATATGACTAGATGTGTTGTAACCAGAGCAATCTATTTAGGAGAAACAAAGCAAATCTCATTCCAATATATTACAAGGTTTCCTGTGTCACATGCCAGTGACTATTTTAAAATGCTTCAGTGATCATCTGAATGAAGTGACCAAAATTGCACACACAGTATTGGAGAATACATTTTTCTACTTTCATATTATTTAACTCTTTCTTTCTTTCTTTCTTTCTTTCTTTCTTTCTTTCTTTCTTTCTTTCTTTCTTTCTTTCTTCCTTCCTTCCTTCCTTCCTTCCTTCCTTCCTTCCTTCCTTCCTTCCTTCCTTCCTTCCTTCCTTCCTTCTTTCCTTCTTTCTTTCTTTCTTTCTTTCTTTCTTTCTTTCTTTCCTTCATCTTTTTTTTCCTACTGCAATAATTCTACAATTTCCTACACAGTACAAGCATCTCTAGTCGAGTTGCTTTATATGGGCTTTAGGTGACCACATATTAACAGGTATTATGATGGCATATTAAAAGTTGTTGAGTCTGAAATTGAAGCAAACACTCTATTGATGTTCTTTGATTTTAAAGTCTTTCCCTATTTTGTTTCCAGTTAACATTACTGCTCAATCAAATGATATATGTTTTGCATCTTTATGGAAATCTGCGGACAGAATAAGAGGCTCTTCTTTGTTAAAAATAATGAGCATAGGGCAAACTCCTCGGGTTCCCTCCTACTGTAGGAGCTTTTCTGTCCTCTTAATAAATCCTGTTTTCTCACTTAAAAAAAATAAAAATAAAAATAAAAATAATGAGCACCTTGGCTGGGTGTGGTGATTCGAGCCTGTAATCCCACCACTTTGGGAGGCCAAGGTGAGAGGACTGCTTAAGCCCAAGGTTTAAAACCAGCCTGGGCAACTTGGTGAGACCTCATCTCTACAATAAATCAAAACACTTGCCAGGCATGGTAGCACATGCCTGTAGTTTCAGTTACTTGGAAGGCTGAGGTGGAAGGGTCGCCTGAGCCCAGCAGGTTGAGGCTGCAGTGGCTGTGAACATGCCACTGTACTTTAGCCTGGGTGACAGAGTGCAACTCCAACTCAAAAAAAAATATGAGCACCTCAAATACAAAACTGAAATTTAAAAAGTGTAATCAAAAGCTTAGTAATTCCCATAATTGAAATTTAGTTCATTCACCTCGAGGGAATACTGATCAAATAAGTGGGTTTCATTCCTTCAGAAAAGACAGTAAACTAAGATGTCAACCTGTTAGATGTTAACTGATTGTTCTTTTAATTGACAGATAGAAGTGGGTCAAAGAAAACTTTGAATTGCTTCAGATACAAGCTTCTTATGAAGCTCATGAGAGTCTTTTAGGGGCTAGGGGAATTTTCTAAAAAGCTAAGAAGGAATCTAGTCTTGAGATACCAACTCTTAATCTACTCATAGAAATATCTTGTGCTCTTTCATTCTTGTCTGAAAGCAAACAAAACCAAACAAGCATCTCATACACACAGTAAAACACCCAGGAGAATTCAAATCTTTAGGGATTTTTTTTTCCTTTCTTG